AGGAAACACTGGGAAAGAGCTTGTTTCAATACTTTGTGTTCACATCAGGCGTTCTGCAGGAGTGATCAGACAAAATTTTCATCTGTTAATTTGTAACAATTATACGCTGTCTTTGACTTTGTTTTCATTTTATTGACCGTCTTTCAAACGTGATTGGCGAATTCGTTTCTCCGCGGACAATTTAGATATTATAAAGACTTTCTTTGTTATACTGTAAATTATATCAATCGACTGGGTTTAATTCTGCACAATATTCTCAATTGGTCTTAAGACGTTCAATTTTGTATTAAAAAAGCAAATACTGGTATGTTTATCCTTCTAGATTTGACAAGACTACAGTTCCTGGATTCACGAAAAACGTGTTGATCACTGTGTGCTTCTTTGAACTTTATTTTACTGTTCTTCAATTCTTTTTATTAATCTTGTATACAGCCTACGAAGCTTGCATCAAAGCTTGTCAATTATCAATTGAATTGTTTTAAATTTAAATGGACAAATCGGTGTAAACATTCGGCGCTAAAACGTGTGGAACCGTATTCAAAGTTTGTTTCATAATCTTCCCCATTGGGCGCGAAATTCAAAATTCCAACATATCCCCTGCCACAACATTTTGTAAGCACTCGCCCGTTTGTATTTTAGTATACTGTATTAAAGCGAACGACAACTGGAGAGGAACCTGGGATCTGTGTTTGGTCAAGACATTTTGTTTGTATCCCAGTTCTTTTGTGTTTCACCCTATTGTTAGTTGCATTTCATATTATACATACTGTGGTACGGTGAGCTGGAACGTTTTGACTGACTGCATTCCATTCTATCGTTTTGATGTTTGGTTCGCTGTTTTGCAAGTCGATACAGTTTCCTGAAATCGCAGGCGATGAGTAACACGACGAATCGAATTCTCCCTGACCACTGCTGACGAGTAATTCACACAATAATCTCTGCCCCCGTTTTCAAATACTGTAACTGTCTGAAACCAATGGACGAAATCCGGACTCCATGTGGGAAAATGGAATGTTGCACAATTGATCGTCTTGTTTC